GAAAGTAGGATGTTGGTATTTTAATAGGGATGGCGTTGAATTGGTAAATTGCTCTGGGAAGTATAGACATTTTAACAATGTTGATTCTTCCCAGCCATGGTATGTTCTTCCATTTGTTAATGTCATCTGCTATTTCCTTTCTTAGGGTTTCATAATTTTCTTTATAGAGGTCCTTTACCTCTTTTGTTAGGTATAGGTTTTTTTCTATTTTTGTAGAGACAGGGTCTCACCCTTGCTCAGGCTGGCCTCAAACTCCTGAGCTCAAGCAAACCACCAGCCTCAGCCTCCCAGAGTGCTAGAATAATAGGCAGGAGCCCCTAAGCCCCACCTGAGAAGAAACATTTGACAAGTTCAGCACCCATTCAATGATGATCTCTCATAGCAAACTAGGAAAATACCTCAACTTTCCAAAGAATGGCTACAAGTACTTATTTTGTTACATGGATATAGTGTAAAAAATTTTAAAAAATTGTTTAGCTAATGTCTCACTTAATTCTGACAGACTGGATGCTTTCTCCCTAAGATTGGAAACAAGGCAAGATTGTCCAATCTCACTACTCTTATTCCTCTTATTCAACATTGTACTGTCCTGTAATCACAGCACTTTGGGAGGCTGAGGAAGTAGGACTTTTTGAGACCAGGAGTTCAAGAGCAGTCTGGGCAAAATAAGCAATAACTCATCTCTACAAATAATATGAAAATTAGGTGGGCATTATGGTACTCACCTGTAGCTGGGCTACTTGGGAGGCTGAAGCAGGAGGATCACTTGAGCCCAGGAGATTGAGGTTGCAGTGGGCTATGACAATACCATTGCCTCTAGCCCGAATAATAGAGATCCTATCTCAAAATAATAATAATTCTCATAATATTATAATACCATTGACCTAGAAGTTCTAACCAGTGCAATACAGAAAAAAAAAAAGGATATCAAAGGTGTATAGATTGGAAGAGTAGATATAAAACTAGCCCTATTTACAGATGATATGATGGTCTATGTAGAAACCCCCAAGAAATCTACAAAAAAACAAAAACAAACAAAAAAAACCCTAGCCCCTTCCCAACTATATAATAAAGCAAAAAACAAAACAAAACAGAACAAAACTCCAAGAATAAATCAATGAGTTCAATAAGGCGGGAGGATACAATGTTAACATCCAAAAAAAATCAATTGCATATGTAATGTTTATATTCCAGTGATGAATATGTAAAAACTAGAAATTAAAATATAAGTTTGTTTGTAATTGCTTCAATGAAGATGCACTACTCAGACATGTATCTGACAAAACATGTGCAGGACTTGCATACTGAAAACTACAGCATGCCACTGAAAGAAATCAAAGATTTAAATAAATGAAGACATAGACCACAACCATGGATAGGAAGATTCAGCAGAGTAAAGATGTCAATTCTGCCCGACTTGAGATACAGGTTCAGGTCAATTCCTATCAAAATCCCAGCAATAGGCTCGGCACCTGTGGCTCAAGTGGCTAAGGCACCAGCCACATACACCTAAGGTGGTGGGTTGGAATCCAGCCTGGGCCGGCCAAACAACAATGACAGCTGCAACCCAAAAATAGCCAGGTGTTGTGGCGGGCGCCTGTGGTCCCAGCTACTTGGGAGGCTGAGGCAGGAGACTCGTTTGAGCCCAGGAGTTGGAGGTTGCTGTGAGCTGTGATGCCACAGCACTCTACCCCCTCTCCCTCCCAAAAGAGATCCCAGCAATAGGGCGGCGCCTGTGACTCAAGGAGTAGGGCACCAGCCCCATATACGGGAGGTGGTGTGTTCAAACCTGGCCCTGGCGGGGGTGGGGAACCTGCAAAATCCCAGCAATATATCTGAAGATATAGGAAGGAAGATGAGCATTCCTACTATGCTCCTGTTATGTCTCCTCCAGTCAAGTGCCCTCACTATCAGGTGCAACATTTTCTCTGGTGACAAACAGTCGGGGATTTCCCTAGGATCCCTGAACCTGCCTGGCCTAGCCCCCGCCCACTGCTGGCAGGGGAGGGAGCTGACAGTTGACAGAAAAGAGGAAATTCCCCTGGAACCTGTTTCTCAGCTTCGTTGGCTTCCTGGCCAAGTGGGGAGTTCACTGGAAGGAGAAGCCCAGGAGGCTGAAGACACCGGCCTGTCATGGCCTTGGCCCTGAATCCACCCCGGATCCCTAAGCACAGAGGTATCCTGCCATCACACTACTATGAGAGCTTTCTGGAGAAGAAGGGGCCCTTTGACCAGGTAAGGTGTGAGGCAGGGTAGGGAACTGGGCTATTACTGGGTCACTCTGGCAGGTATGACACCTCTCTGAGCCTCAGTCTACCCACTGGCAAAGGGGTAGGATGGAGCTAGATGGGGCTGCGCACATGTGGAGAGCTGGGGAGGGTTCTGGTCATTGATCTGTTGATCTATATCTCTCTGTGTCTCTGTGTGTGTTTCTGTCTCTTTCTCTGATTTGATTGTTTTCTCCTCTTTTTCTGTTTTTTCTGTGTCCCTACCTGTCTCTGTCTCTTCCTCAGTTTCTCTCTCTTTGTCTCAATCTTTCTCCCTGTCTCCATCTCTCCATCTCAGGAACTTCCTGCAAGAAATGTAGGGCCATCTGACTTCCTTTCATTCTCCCCTTCCTAGCCTGGAAGAAACTCTGCAAATCTCAGTTGGAAGGTTCAAGGCCAGTACAGGTGGCGTGAGGGAACAGTAAGAGCTGGAAGGGACCATATTCTGCAGGAACAGACGCTGACCATGGGACTGATGCATGTGCACCTGTGTGTGTGTGTGCATGTCCCAGTGTCTCAGTTTTCCCTGAGGCCCCCTCTTTTCTACCCCACATCCTACATTCATTTTATTATTATTATTATTATTATTATAATTATTATTATTTTGAGACAGAGCCTCAAGTTATCGCCTTGGGTAGAGTGCCATGACGTCACAGCTCACAGCAACCTCCAACTCCTGGGCTTAGGCAATTCTCTTGCCTCAGCCTCCCGAGTAGCTGGGACTACAGGTGCCCGCCACAACGCCCAGCTATTTTTTTGTTGCAGTTTGGCCAGGGCCGGGTTTGAACCCGCCACCCTCAGTATATGGGGCCAGTGCTCTACCCACTGAGCCACAGGTGCCACCCATGCCCGGCTATTGTTAGTTGTACTTGTCATTGTTTGGCAGCCTGGGCCAGATTCAAACCCGTTAGCTCTGGTGTATGTGGCTGGTGACTTAGCTGCTTGAGCTACAGGCGCCACCTATTATTATTATTTTTTTAGACAGTCTTATTCTGTGACCCTGG